CTCTCTACACTGTCCCCCATCAAACACTCCCAGGACAGGGACAGCACAGGGTTAGATACAGAGTAAAGCTCCCTCTACACTGACCCCCATCAAACACCCCCTCCAGGACAGGGACAGCACGGGGTTAGGTACAGAGTAAAGCTCCAACAAGCTCTCTTTGCCTACTTGATACAATACTGTGAGTTTACGTTCATTGTTACATTTAAGATTTAACTCTTTGTGAATTTACTTTCTACTTTTCAGTTATAGGTTCAGCTGCCCGCTTCCCCTTCCCCTGCCAGCCCATCGATCGATACCTATTATAAGTGCTGGAGAGCACTAGGCTTCAGCTGGCTGTATCCGCGATTCTGCCACTCCTTGCTGGATGCAGAGGGCTGGTCCTCCCTCACCATGATCTCCACTCGATTGTGGGTGGATACTGACCGGCTCCCCCCGACACCCTCAACCCTCAGAGCAAGACCAACCCCCCCAACCCCCTCCAGCTCTGTGGTCTCAGAGCCGCTCCCCATCCCCATTCCAATGCTTGCTCCTGCCTTTCGGCTTCTCTTCTGTCTGCTCCAGCCTGACCATCTTACGCTCTTTCTTGCACAGGCGTACCTGAAGAGCTGGGCCCATGAGCTGGATTCGCCGATCCTGTCCGTGGATTACTCCCTCGCCCCCGAGGCTCCATTCCCACGGGCGCTTGAGGAGTGTTTCTTTGCCTACTGCTGGGCCATCAACAATTGCCACCTGCTGGGTAGGTCTGTCCCCAACACCCCCTCCCCATCACTGCCTTGTGGCTGCCTGGGGGCCAAGGCCAGAGCTGACGGTGTGGGACACAGGGAGAGCGTCAGTGTAGGAGGGGTGGGGGCGTGACTGTGGAGGGGGCGGCGTTGGGGGTCAAGCATTCTTGTAAACAGGCCATTTGGCAGCAGTGCAGGATTGCAGTAGGGGAGGAGGTATATCCACGGCGCTCTCTACTGTTTTAAAGTGAAGATAAAGCTCTCTCTACACTGTCCCCCATTGAACATTCCTAAAACATGCATAGCACGGGGTTAGATACACAGTATAGCTCCCGCTACACTGTCCCCATCAAACATGCCCAGGGACAGGGACAGGGACAGCACAGGGTTAGATACAGAGTAAAGCTCCCTCTACACTGTCCCCCATCAAACACTCCCAGGGACAGGGACAGCACAGGGTTAGATACAGAGCAAAGCGCTCTCTACACTGTCCCCATCAAACACTCCCAGGACAGGGACAGCACAGGGTGAGATACAGATGCAGTTTGGTTTTTGCAATCTGTAATTGTTCCTCTGGAGGGTAAAGGGAGAGTGGTGAAATGGGCAGATGAAGTTTAACGCCGAGAAATCTCATGTTAGTCCTTTGCTGGATGAATTGGTTAAATATTTGAAGGAAAAAGAAAATCACACTAGTCACATGTTCGAGATTCTCCCTGGTCTTTTACCAAATATCTAGCATGGGAATGGTGGGTGAATGGCATCTTTCTGTGTTGCATCACTTACCTTTCTTTGCTTGTCACTTGTTTTTCTTAACTTCTGTGTTTTCTACGTACTCATCTCTCAGCCCCTGTATCCTGCTCGCTCTCTTTCTGTCTCCTTTCTTCCTGTCTCTTTTTGTTCTCTTCCTGACTCTCTTACTGTCTCAGTATCTCCCTGTATCCCTCTGCCTTGCTGTCTGCCTCCCTTGTCTTCTGTGTGTCTCTCAAACTGTCTCTCTGTCTATCTCTCTCTCCCTCTCCCTCCGCCTCTCTCCCTCTGCCTCTCTTCCTCCGCCTCTCTCTAGCCGTCTGCCTCTCTCCAGCCATCTGCCACTCTCTGTCCCTCTTACTCTCCCTGTCTCTCTCTGTCTCTCTCTCTCTGTCTGTCTTCCTCAACCCCCTATTCCTCCTCTCTCCCCCCTCTTCTTCCTCTCTCCCCCCTTCCTCCTCTCTACCTCCTCTTCCTCCTCTCCCCTACCGCCTGCATCACCCCTCCGCCTGCATCCCTCCTCCTCTCTGCATCCCTCCCGCTGTCTGCATGCCTCTTACTCTTTCTCTCTCTTCCTGTCTCTCTCCCTGTCTCTCCCTGCCTCTGTGTCTCTGTCTGTCTTCCTCGCTCTCGGTCTCTCTCTCTGTCTCTCTCCCCACCCCTCCACTTGCAAATTAGCCCCACGGGTGTGTGTGGTGGTAGGGCTGGGGAGCTGGATGACTGCCTGTGTTCCTCCCGCTCTGAAGGGTAAGGCATATAGATGCGTCACTGTCCCCTCACTGCCGTCTCCTGTTCTGCCCCCAAACCCCACACTCAGGTTCAACCGGAGAGAGGATCTGCCTGGCGGGGGACAGCGCTGGAGGGAACCTCTGCCTCACTGTGTCCATGCGAGCTGCCTCATATGGAATCCGGATGCCGGATGGGATCATGGCTGCCTACCCAGCAACACTGCTCCAGGCCAGCGCCTCGCCATCCCGTCTGCTCACCTTCATCGACCCGCTGCTGCCCCTCAGTGTCCTCTCCAAGTGCCTGAGTGCTTACGCAGGTGAGGGGCCTCTTGCTGACCCAGAGTCTAACTGCGTCCCAAAAAATGTGGGCTGGCACAGTGACCACTGACCAAGGTGATCTATCAGTGCTGAGGGAGCGCCGCACTGTCGGAGGGTCAGTGCTGAGGGAGCACCGCGCTGTCGGAGGGTCAGTGCTGAGGGAGCGCCGCACTGTCGGAGGGTCAGTGCTGAGGGAGCGCTGCACTGCCGGAGGGTCAGTGCTGAGGGAGCGCCGCACTGTCGGAGGGTCAGGACTGCAGTGTTGGAGGTCCTGTCTTCTGTTCAAGTAGATTTTAAAGTTCCTGCAGGTTAGTGGAGATCTCTGTAGAGTGTTGAGCCCATTTTTAAATCTCAGTGTTAACAATGCAATTCCGTCGATGTGATCATTGACAGCCTGATAATTGTGGAATCTTGCTCTGGGAATGCCAGTTGAATGTTGACTGCTTGACAATGTTCAGTGCATTTCCGAAAATTTCCTGGAGTGTTTTTCAGGATGATCTGACTTGTTGAACTGCGCTGTAATGTACTTGTCCTTCACTAATGTGGAACAGGGATGGGTTATCTGGGAATTGTGCTGGATTCCAGACACTGATGGCCACAGGGCAAGCTCAGAAAACCCCTGGATTGGGGAATTGTGGACATGGTGGCATCACATTGATACCCTGCCTGTTCGTGGGCCTGTGTACTTGGAGCTGGTGCACATGGGGCACCTCTTCACTGTAACCCTTCCCCTGTCACATATCTCCCTCCAACACTAGACTCCCTTCCATTCCCCTGACCGACAACTGCCCAATGCCTGGCTCCCAATTCTCTGACTCTGTCTGTATCTTCTCCCCTTCCCCTCCGCCCCCCCCCCGCCCCATTTCTCTCCCCTTCACACCCTCATATCTCTCCCCTCTGCTCCGCATATCTCACCCCTTCGCGCCCCCCTTTCTCTCCCTTTACTCCCCTCATTTTTCTCCCCCTTTGCTCCCTCATTTCTCTCGTCACTTATTCCCCCTTTGTCTGTTTCTCCTTTCTGCCTCTTCCTCCTTCCCTCTCTGCCCCTCAGCTCCCCGCTCCCCAATCTAACGCCCACTGCCACTGAAACCCAAACTCAGCTCCCCCCCGCACATCTCTAGGTTCCCTCACCGTCTCTCGGCCATGGTGTGCTGAACATGAGGGAGTGCCACAATGTCGGAGGGTCAGTGCTGAGGGATCGCCCCTGTTTCCCCTGGCTCTGGGATCACTGTTCCCTCCTATCC